AGACAAATATTTATTTTATACAAAAATAAAGTATATATATTAATTTTTATAAATATTTGATTATTATATACTTTTTGTACATTTCTTAGGAATAGTTCGGTTAAGTTTAGAGTAGCTCATTTCCTTCTTTCAAACACGATTTTATACTTGCGCTTAAGGCGTGGTAACGCCCTATCTTAATACTTGCTTATAGTACCGCTAGCGGAGCTGTTTTACTCTACTGTTATAGATGATATTTTTGATGTTCTCCATGTACTTGACTTTAGATGTGAACGTATTATTTCTGGATTTACTGCCAATAGAACGAAGTTATTTACTATATTTTTTTAAATTGTATTTTTGAACTTCTCCATGTATTGTCTTCAGATGTGAAATCATAAACCAGGATTTACAGTATTCTTATTTTATTGTATTAATATTTTAAATCTGTGCTTAATGTTATATATACACATATTTTAATTTATCCCTTAGTTCTATTTGTAAAAAAGTTTTTTTTTTGGAATAAAATATAGTAAAAGCTGTTGAAAAAATTTATAAATTTAGTTGAGAATCAAAAATAAGAAACTCTAACTTAGATCCAACCGTATAACAATGTGATCCACATATATAAATTTTACCAATTGTTACAATATATATGTGTTATATACAAGTTTGAAATTAAATACTCAAATTTACTGAGTTTATACTGCGAACACTGAACCCAGAATACTAAAAACTATTGTACAGCGGATTTTTAATATCACAGTAGTTCTGTTATTGGTTTGGTTCAATTACATTGAAATTTAAAGATTCCGATTTAAAACTGATAAAGTTCATAGCCGGTTCATAGCCTTGTACATTTAACTATTTAACAAGGTTTGCAAGACATTTCTTCTCATATATTTTGAATGGTTTTTTTGTAGTAATAGCAATCACCATAGTGTTATTAACATTTTTTATTATATTATCAAATGTTTATATTTATTTATTATTATTATATTTATTATTGATTTAATATGAAATGATATTCGGTTCACCAGGATAAGGAGGACATATCGAGATAAAGTTGGGTTTCAACTCAATTGACGTCATTTTTATTGTATTGTATTGTGGTGAATTTAAATTTTGTACGATATAATATGCCAACGCTTAAATAACTTGAATATAGAGCTTAAAATCAACATTTCACATAGAGTTCATGAGAGCAAAATCTGATAATTCTTGGAAGGAACGAAATCGGTTGATTATACTTTATTATCTACTTCATGAAATGAACAATATGAACTTATTTCTGCTTATTTGAAAGTTGATTTGTAAAAAATAACAATAACATTTCACATATTTAGATCTGAATATATGATTTCAGTACTGAATATACGTGCCGTTTAAATAGATAAATGTTTGTAGAATTTTTATTTTATTATTCAACATTCTTATTTGATGAAGTTAGGTAATTATTAATAATTTTGTGCGAAGGGTATTAAAGTTACAGCAAAACCAAACCTAACTTCATTATTTAATTTTTAATATATGCATGATTTCTACACATTGAGCTGAAAACCATGAATCATTCAATCTCACTTATAATATGTAAATGTAAAATTTTCTGGTCTGTTTTTAAGATATTGTTTTTAAGATATATTTTTTTAGATTTCATATTTACGTTTTGTATCTGTTATATAACTATTTATATTTCCGTAAATAAGGTAATCTATCAATGTTTTACATATTTTGTTTATTTTCTTTCTAGCAGTTTCAGTAGGCGAAGCACCTTTTCTGTTTCACACTGTGATACTCTACAATGTTTTCTTCTCAACTGCAACACTCTTTTCTTTATTTCTTATCATAATATTCAATTCAGCAGTATTATTTACATATTATATATATTTTAACTTTTATGTGTTTATATATATTACATTATATTTAATAATTTATTTTATTCAGTTATTTATGAAAGATTTTACTCTTTCTTTCTATAAGTTTAATTTATAAAGAGAAGCGCTCAATAGCTTTATTATCAGTATATTATATATATATATCAACTTCTACAGAATTAATTAATAACTTTGAACAATACAAATTATTATATAATTATTATATTACGTAAAATTATATGCAAATGGTATTCTAGTTTAAGAGCTAAAGTTTGAAAACTGATTTAAGGCTTAAGTGTACCTTGGTACACAATGCCGCGACTTGAACTCAACCCAACTGACATGAATGAATTAATTAAAATATCTTAGAATTAACTTACAATTGGTGATACGATATTATATATTGTATCACTGCTGCCACATATATTTTAAGTGCAAAATTAAAAAAGTTTTTGTTAAAAATAATACATATTTTTAAACTAAAATAAAAACAAGTTACTAGAAAAGTATTAAGACTTGAGAGAAATCATTTAATACACATAAAATAAAATGCAATATGTTTATAAGTATCATAATCTGCTATTTTTAAAGAATTCGTTTTATGTAATGTAAACTAAAATTTTTAATTAGAATAGAGTATTAGAGTAGAGTAGAGTATTAGAGTAGAGATTAGAGTATTTGATGTTTCGTCACCCTATGTACATAGACAATATTTCGTTGGATAATTCACTAAAGTGAAAAGTAAATACTTTTTAGAAGGAATATGTATCGCCATAAATTATATTCACTATTAAGTGAAAAGTAAATACTTTTTAGAAGGAATATGTATCGCCATAAATTATCTTCATTGGTGTAAAGCAATAGGAACGATCTCCACTTTTATGAACTATAGTTTCAAGTAATAATCCACTATAATTTAAATTCATTACAACTTTATCACATTTGCTTCATAATTTACAAAACGAAAATTTCATTCCAATAAAAATAATATTATAATAATTAAAAAATATTATAATAATAATAATTGATAATATTGAAATATTGATTATTTTAATTAAGTAAATTTAATTATATTAAATATAAATAATATTTGATGGATTTATTTATTAGATTTCAAAAAACTCACCAACTTTATATCATAACCGTGTTATACTGCGTCTATACTGGCTAATCTTTGACAAGATTTTTCTTTTCTTTTTTCATATTTGAAATACTTATTTGGTTATTTGCTAAATTTAAGCCAGTGTAGACGCCGCGTTAGAAAAAAAAATTTTTTTTTCACCAAAAATTTAACATAAAGAGAGTACACCTGTGGTGAATTTAGAGCAAAATGTCATATTTTAAATTTTGCTTTTCAGTTATATGAGATGTATAGTAAAATTTAAATTTATATAATATAATAAAAATAAAGTAGTGTAAAATATTATAATTCAACTCAATTATATTACAATGGTGAAATTAATCCACCACATTAACACAATTTACAAGATAGAATCATAATTAAAAAAGTGTTACGCATTCGAATTATTATGGATAGGAAAAATTTTTAATAAAAAACTACTTTTGTTGATAATATTATATATATATTTAAATTGTTTATATGTTGTATATTGTTTATATGAGGATTGTTGCCTATTTGTGTTGATAAATTTATATCAAAATATTACAATATGCAACACTGTAAATTGTTGCAACAGCTGTTTTTTATCGGAAAATGCTGACAAAATCGAATTTTTTTGATTTATATGTTATTTTAAATATATAGATTCCTTTACAAAAATATGTATGAATATTAAAATATATCATTTGATTTTGACTTAAATCGTGTCATGAAAAAGCTAATCATGAAAAAGCTAGTGTTTGTAACAACGCCTTAACATAATCTCAAATGATTAGGTTTTGGGCACACATTTTATTAATATTTGTGATTAAATATTTTGTGTCGTTCTTAAAACATTCGAAATAAATAATTTTTATAAGATACTTATACTTGTTAGGAATATGCATCACCTACAAAAATGTTGATGATTTTATGGCATGAAGTATCTTTATGTAATATACACACATATGTACCATAAGATTCAAGAACAAGGTACGTACCATTTTTTTTTTTGATTAATTAATTTAATTTAATGTGTATTATTATACTTTTCATTTATCCTGAGAATGCTTTTCTTATTTGTACTTTTAAAACTACAACTTGAATGATAACCAGGACTTGGTGGTTAACGTGTGATTTAGGCACATATATGCCCTACTGCTGTTAAACACAAATATTAAGCTAATAATTAATTTAAATGCAAGATTTATATTGGTGATGATAGTACGGAGAAATGGTGCACAATACGCTTTACACGCGAGTGAAGCCATAAAAAATGATTTGAAATCATTAGAATACATCAATAGGCTACTATTTTTATTCCATAATTATGAAGTAACTTTAATTGAAATGATTTAATTTATCATTCATTCAGTGATGATTTTCAGCTATTATAAATTCCTACGCTTTTATAAGGCTAAATAAGTCTAAAATTTTAATAAAAATTTTAATTAATAAAATTTTATAAGTCTATTGAAGACCCTTTTTCCAATAGATATCTTTGATGGTTTTGTTCGCCAAATTTAGCGAGTAACTTTAAATAATTTTAATGTTTTGTAGAATCATTTCCTCTCACTTCTATTAGTAAAAATGTATAACTGGATTCGTCCAAAATGGGCAAGCATACAAAAGAAATTGTTGAACAATAGATAAGCCTAGAAACACAATTGTTTATGCTTTTGTAAAAACTACAAATTTTATCTAACTAATAGCTTTGGTTACCCTTCGGGTATGCATATTTTACGACATATTAAAATTAACCCTAAGTCAGGGTTTATACAAAAATTAATAACGGTAATTACGAAACTATGTGAATAATAACTTTTATAGCTTTTTTAAGTATAATTATATAAATTGAAAGTTATTATCACAATTAAGTGAAGCTTAACAAAACGTATTAATATATATAATACAATATTATACTACATTGCGCATAAATTAAATACTAAATATAAAAAGAAAAACCATTAATTTATAATTTGTAAAAATATATATCGAATATATATTATATTAAAATTGTGTACATTTTTTTTACATTATTTTTTACATTTTAAGTTTTTCGTTATATAAAATATAAAATCTTAACTATAATTATATTATATTGATTCTCTTATAAACTTGGAAACTCATATCTGTTATTAAATTCTAAATGACTACTACTTAATTCTGGCTGAAAGTCGTCGTAGCTCAGAGCTAAAAGAGCACCATTTGTGTCATAGATCGTACAATTGAGATCATTTTGAGGTTCTAAAATCACATTGATTGGTGTTGTATAAGTGGAAGCATCTCCAATATTTGTTTCAATTGCTGCGTTTGCGAAATCACCGCAATATGTGGTATGCGTCGAATGTGTGGAGTTTAAAATGCTGCAATTGCTATCATCCGCACAAGGAATTGAAACTGAGTAAATGTCGTCGTTATGGAATGCTACGTTTCCGGAACTACGATATTGTAATCCATTATGTATTTCTATATTCATAGTTACGGTAGGTTGTTCCACAGTGTTTTGGTTATCAAATAATATGTCATTTTGACATTCATTGTCACAGTACAGAGCAGTTAAACATTCATCATTTGTTTCAATTTCGGAATTATGTAAATTCTCTTCAGCATTAAGTTTTGCTGTATGATTTTGTAATTGATGTTCCGTTATTGAATTACCAAATGAAGTAAACTTTGTAAAATTATCAGGATATTGCAGTTCCATATCATAGGATAACTGGCTTGCAGCATGTAAATTGGCATCATTAACAATATTTTCATTATTATCAAAATTAGTAATATTTTCGTCATTTACAAATTGATTTGTTTCTATTGAGGTGTTGGCAAAGGATAGATTATCTACATTATTTGTATCTGGCAGTGGAAGTTCAGATTTAATATCTTTCATTTTGGACTGATCAAAGCAGTTTTCGGTAGTCACATATTTTAAAACATCATCTAGATGTAATAAATTAGTATCACTGGAAGGGACACGCAATAATTCAGGTATATTATGTTCATCATTAAAATCATTATTTTGGGTTATAGTAATCAGTTTTGAAAATATATTGCAATTTTTATCAGTAATATTGAATGATGAAGAATTTGCATCTAAATTAATAGTTGGATTTGAGGTATACGAAAATTTTGTTGAAGGAACTACTTGTATTGCTTCGGTTTTTATATCCTGCTCTGTACAGGTGTTGTCGAAAGTTTCAATGAAAACTTTTTTATGTTTTTCAAACTCAGTGCGGTTAGCATCTTTATATCCTCTTTTATTTTTTCGACCATGTTTTGAGATAGTCTGTTTAACCGAACAAGTAGAATACGCCTTTAAATTTTTATTATCATATTGATTGCTTTTATCACTGTTGGAGTCAAGCTTTGGTTTTGAAACACTTAATGATTTCGAATGTTTCTTTTGTGGTCGGTATTTATAATCTGGATATTCTATCATGTGAAGCTTGCGTAGTTTTTCCGCTTCATTAATGTATGGCTGCTTTTCCTCATTTCCTAAAAGCTGCCAACGTCTGCCAAGTTCCTTAGAAATTTCTGCATTATGTAGATCAGGGGTTTTTTCACAGATTTTTCTCCTTTCCATTTGACTCCAAACCATAAACGCATTCATAGGACGTTTAATATGCCCAGGAGAATGCTTTTTTGTCTGTAAAAAAAAAAATTGTTTTTATTGAAATGATTCATAAAAATTTAAAATATTTATTTATTTATAAAATATATATTTGTGGTTAATGGATTTTTCTAAACTTTTTTATGTTTAATTTTTATTTATATAATTTTTAATTTATTTATTTAATTTTATTATTAAGTATTTATTAATATTTATTTAAACTTTAATAAATGCAAATAATTGTTTTTAAATTTTCAGTAAATCTTCCTTAAGTATTTTGTATTATGGATATATATGCTATGGATATATAAAGAAGCAGTTTATTTAGACCCTCAGTGAAATTTGAATTAGATAGTACATTGCTTATGGAATTTTAGATAAATTTAGCTTTACACTAGACCGGAAAGTAACAGTGTCACTTTGATAAAACGGTATATATACATTAGATAAATTAGATTAACATTAAAGAAAGTAAAAATTTATAGTGGATAGACTAGGCTTCTGGCGAATATCGGATAATGATAACGAAATGAGAAAAATGTTCATCTTCCTTCTTTGATCCACAGTTTCTACAATAGTCGTTGAAAGAAACTCCTACCCATCAATATGAGAAACTACCTATTCGACAGTTTCCTGCTCATAGTAGACGTTTGTTGGACAGCAAGATGCGATTAAAATTAATTAATAAGTTTTGTCATTAGTGTTCTTGGTGTCACCATTGACTAGCCATTTTAAACTGCTCTGTTTGTAAATCTGACTAAAGCAGTGTTTAAAACATGTTCATATTTAGTGTCTCCTTACAATAAATGTTATAAGGTGTCGTTTGTAATTTATCAGTTATTTAGTTGTTATGAATATTCAAATAATCCGGTTAGATTATGCCTACAATGGCTAGTTATGAGGCCACGGATTAGCGTTGTTCATATGACTCTCCTATAAAAAGTAAAGTTTAACCAGTCTGACGAAGTCCTCTAATTTTGCAGGATAACAGCTCTATCAGCTCGGTAAAAAAAAGTCGCAAATATTTTTAATCTTATCATAGTCAATAATATACACTGACACATTAGGTTGAGTATAGTTTCACAAGAAAGGTCATTATAGGGTACACCCAGTCTCAGCATTTCTTGCTAGTATGCACCGATACCGTAATGCTGAGCAGGCTACACCCTAGTTGAAGTTAACTATTAATTTTCTTGTCTAGTTTAGATCAGGTTGATCTTGAGATCTGCTAGAAGAGTATACCAACTTTTACTTCAAAATGCCATTATAAATCACCTAGTAAGAAGGTAAGAAATATTATTTTATGTTCAGTTTGTCGGATAATATACTTCCGTATGTTATATTGAACATTTATTTTTCTTATTTTTCTAAGTATCTTTATGTAATATACACACATATGTACCATAAGATTCAAGAACAAGGTACGTACCATTTTTTTTTTTGATTAATTAATTTAATTTAATGTGTATTATTATACTTTTCATTTATCCTGAGAATGCTTTTCTTATTTGTACTTTTAAAACTACAACTTGAATGATAACCAGGACTTGGTGGTTAACGTGTGATTTAGGCACATATATGCCCTACTGCTGTTAAACACAAATATTAAGCTAATAATTAATTTAAATGCAAGATTTATATTGGTGATGATAGTACGGAGAAATGGTGCACAATACGCTTTACACGCGAGTGAAGCCATAAAAAATGATTTGAAATCATTAGAATACATCAATAGGCTACTATTTTTATTCCATAATTATGAAGTAACTTTAATTGAAATGATTTAATTTATCATTCATTCAGTGATGATTTTCAGCTATTATAAATTCCTACGCTTTTATAAGGCTAAATAAGTCTAAAATTTTAATAAAAATTTTAATTAATAAAATTTTATAAGTCTATTGAAGACCCTTTTTCCAATAGATATCTTTGATGGTTTTGTTCGCCAAATTTAGCGAGTAACTTTAAATAATTTTAATGTTTTGTAGAATCATTTCCTCTCACTTCTATTAGTAAAAATGTATAACTGGATTCGTCCAAAATGGGCAAGCATACAAAAGAAATTGTTGAACAATAGATAAGCCTAGAAACACAATTGTTTATGCTTTTGTAAAAACTACAAATTTTATCTAACTAATAGCTTTGGTTACCCTTCGGGTATGCATATTTTACGACATATTAAAATTAACCCTAAGTCAGGGTTTATACAAAAATTAATAACGGTAATTACGAAACTATGTGAATAATAACTTTTATAGCTTTTTTAAGTATAATTATATAAATTGAAAGTTATTATCACAATTAAGTGAAGCTTAACAAAACGTATTAATATATATAATACAATATTATACTACATTGCGCATAAATTAAATACTAAATATAAAAAGAAAAACCATTAATTTATAATTTGTAAAAATATATATCGAATATATATTATATTAAAATTGTGTACATTTTTTTTACATTATTTTTTACATTTTAAGTTTTTCGTTATATAAAATATAAAATCTTAACTATAATTATATTATATTGATTCTCTTATAAACTTGGAAACTCATATCTGTTATTAAATTCTAAATGACTACTACTTAATTCTGGCTGAAAGTCGTCGTAGCTCAGAGCTAAAAGAGCACCATTTGTGTCATAGATCGTACAATTGAGATCATTTTGAGGTTCTAAAATCACATTGATTGGTGTTGTATAAGTGGAAGCATCTCCAATATTTGTTTCAATTGCTGCGTTTGCGAAATCACCGCAATATGTGGTATGCGTCGAATGTGTGGAGTTTAAAATGCTGCAATTGCTATCATCCGCACAAGGAATTGAAACTGAGTAAATGTCGTCGTTATGGAATGCTACGTTTCCGGAACTACGATATTGTAATCCATTATGTATTTCTATATTCATAGTTACGGTAGGTTGTTCCACAGTGTTTTGGTTATCAAATAATATGTCATTTTGACATTCATTGTCACAGTACAGAGCAGTTAAACATTCATCATTTGTTTCAATTTCGGAATTATGTAAATTCTCTTCAGCATTAAGTTTTGCTGTATGATTTTGTAATTGATGTTCCGTTATTGAATTACCAAATGAAGTAAACTTTGTAAAATTATCAGGATATTGCAGTTCCATATCATAGGATAACTGGCTTGCAGCATGTAAATTGGCATCATTAACAATATTTTCATTATTATCAAAATTAGTAATATTTTCGTCATTTACAAATTGATTTGTTTCTATTGAGGTGTTGGCAAAGGATAGATTATCTACATTATTTGTATCTGGCAGTGGAAGTTCAGATTTAATATCTTTCATTTTGGACTGATCAAAGCAGTTTTCGGTAGTCACATATTTTAAAACATCATCTAGATGTAATAAATTAGTATCACTGGAAGGGACACGCAATAATTCAGGTATATTATGTTCATCATTAAAATCATTATTTTGGGTTATAGTAATCAGTTTTGAAAATATATTGCAATTTTTATCAGTAATATTGAATGATGAAGAATTTGCATCTAAATTAATAGTTGGATTTGAGGTATACGAAAATTTTGTTGAAGGAACTACTTGTATTGCTTCGGTTTTTATATCCTGCTCTGTACAGGTGTTGTCGAAAGTTTCAATGAAAACTTTTTTATGTTTTTCAAACTCAGTGCGGTTAGCATCTTTATATCCTCTTTTATTTTTTCGACCATGTTTTGAGATAGTCTGTTTAACCGAACAAGTAGAATACGCCTTTAAATTTTTATTATCATATTGATTGCTTTTATCACTGTTGGAGTCAAGCTTTGGTTTTGAAACACTTAATGATTTCGAATGTTTCTTTTGTGGTCGGTATTTATAATCTGGATATTCTATCATGTGAAGCTTGCGTAGTTTTTCCGCTTCATTAATGTATGGCTGCTTTTCCTCATTTCCTAAAAGCTGCCAACGTCTGCCAAGTTCCTTAGAAATTTCTGCATTATGTAGATCAGGGGTTTTTTCACAGATTTTTCTCCTTTCCATTTGACTCCAAACCATAAACGCATTCATAGGACGTTTAATATGCCCAGGAGAATGCTTTTTTGTCTGTAAAAAAAAAAATTGTTTTTATTGAAATGATTCATAAAAATTTAAAATATTTATTTATTTATAAAATATATATTTGTGGTTAATGGATTTTTCTAAACTTTTTTATGTTTAATTTTTATTTATATAATTTTTAATTTATTTATTTAATTTTATTATTAAGTATTTATTAATATTTATTTAAACTTTAATAAATGCAAATAATTGTTTTTAAATTTTCAGTAAATCTTCCTTAAGTATTTTGTATTATGGATATATATGCTATGGATATATAAAGAGGCAGTTTATTTAGACCCTCAGTGAAATTTGAATTAGATAGTACATTGCTTATGGAATTTTAGATAAATTTAGCTTTACACTAGACCGGAAAGTAACAGTGTCACTTTGATAAAACGGTATATATACATTAGATAAATTAGATTAACATTAAAGAAAGTAAAAATTTATAGTGGATAGACTAGGCTTCTGGCGAATATCGGATAATGATAACGAAATGAGAAAAATGTTCATCTTCCTTCTTTGATCCACAGTTTCTACAATAGTCGTTGAAAGAAACTCCTACCCATCAATATGAGAAACTACCTATTCGACAGTTTCCTGCTCATAGTAGACGTTTGTTGGACAGCAAGATGCGATTAAAATTAATTAATAAGTTTTGTCATTAGTGTTCTTGGTGTCACCATTGACTAGCCATTTTAAACTGCTCTGTTTGTAAATCTGACTAAAGCAGTGTTTAAAACATGTTCATATTTAGTGTCTCCTTACAATAAATGTTATAAGGTGTCGTTTGTAATTTATCAGTTATTTAGTTGTTATGAATATTCAAATAATCCGGTTAGATTATGCCTACAATGGCTAGTTATGAGGCCACGGATTAGCGTTGTTCATATGACTCTCCTATAAAAAGTAAAGTTTAACCAGTCTGACGAAGTCCTCTAATTTTGCAGGATAACAGCTCTATCAGCTCGGTAAAAAAAAGTCGCAAATATTTTTAATCTTATCATAGTCAATAATATACACTGACACATTAGGTTGAGTATAGTTTCACAAGAAAGGTCATTATAGGGTACACCCAGTCTCAGCATTTCTTGCTAGTATGCACCGATACCGTAATGCTGAGCAGGCTACACCCTAGTTGAAGTTAACTATTAATTTTCTTGTCTAGTTTAGATCAGGTTGATCTTGAGATCTGCTAGAAGAGTATACCAACTTTTACTTCAAAATGCCATTATAAATCACCTAGTAAGAAGGTAAGAAATATTATTTTATGTTCAGTTTGTCGGATAATATACTTCCGTATGTTATATTGAACATTTATTTTTCTGTGGACAGTTTTCAGTCACATTAAGAATTACTGAATACGGGGCTTTTATGAAATTATGGATCTAAGTCTTTGTATTTGCTATAAGAACAGAAACAACAGTCAATGGAATTTTTCGATTTGAGCTTTTCGGATAAAAAGTATTATATGTAAATTCTTCAGGTGTGTGGCTGTTGTTTATTGTTCAATATCTTTACTGAATAATTTTTTTAATGTTAAGCTTGTAGAACAGTAGAACATTTGAATTTTATTTCTTAATTAATAATACGAAAATACTAATTACTTTACAAATTTGAGGTACTTTAAAAAGCTATTGAAATATCACATATTCACTTATATATTTAAAATTTATTTATAAAATATACTTATTTTATTTTGCAAAGGTAGATAACAAATAATTATCACTTTTGATTATTATAAATAGTAGATAATGTTAAAAATATATTTACTAAATTAGCAAAATTTAAGGTAATTAACCTACCTATAAGATTTATTTATTTACTGTTGAGACCCAAGGTTAATTTTACTATAATAAAATATTTCTGTATGCATTAAAAGCTATACAAACACAAGCATACAGTATTATAAAGTGTCTTTAACCCCGTAAAAAGAAAAGGTTCCTATATTCATTTAAGTTTCCTTGCAAAAGGACTTTAACCCAATATAAATTATAACGCAAAGTAAAAAATTCAAAAATTTAAGCATGATAGGAAAGTGTCACATCCATAAAAAAATAGTAAATTCCATTATTGCCCATTTCACAACAGACAGAAACAAAAACAAAAAACAGAAATGAATGTATAATGTATACACGAAAAAAACAATAAAAGAAAACGTAAAGACCTAAACAATATAAGAGGAACGGCAATGTGTTGAAACATGTTGCAACAGTGTGGTTGGAGTGCACGAAGTCTGTGTAAAGTGGAAAGACCTTTCTGTCATCCCCTAATTGTATGTGTCAATAAACCCGAAACCGAAAATTTTAGACTGTTTGTTGTTGTTTGAAGGTCGCTATATGAATGCAATAAATACGAAAAAAAGTAAAACCAACTAAATTATAGACATGAGTGGGATGATACGGGTAATTCATAAGCTTTAAGTTTATAATTTTATTTTGAAAATTTGCTTTCTCAACTATGTTGTTTTTTTAGGCATTCAGAAGTTTAAGGTTAAAGAACTTATTTTATCTTTATTTGTTAATATTTTCGTAATTATTATTTTTTTTTAAGTCATTATAATACTTAAGTGTGTATTTCAAGAATTTGAAATATTTAAAAAATTACTTTTTCAAATTAATACTATTCTGATAGAATAATAAGATAGGTATATAATACAAATAATTTAATTTTTAAAAATTAATTCGCTTTCATTAAGGTAAAGTATTAAAGTTTTAAAAAAAGTTTTAGATCTACAACATTTAACAATTTCACAAAATTAAATTAAATGTCAATGATTGATAATGACTTTGAGATACTAAACTCTCCTTTTTTATCAAATATCTATATGTACATACATATATACATATATTATAGTTAATAAAAAGAGTGTAGTATTTCTAAAAGTTGCGAAACTATATAAGTTATTAACTACAAGTTTCTATTAGTATAGGTTCTCCTATCTAAATTACATATATATTAAAGTTTATTTGGGTGATGATTAAATATTGCACGGATTTTCGAAATTGATTAGGATTTCTTTTATACTACATATATACATATATAGTATTTACGATTTAGAAAATGGACTTTATTATTAATAGAAAATTACTTTTTCTATAAAAATGAAACAATAAAATAAAATTTTATTCAGCTTATCTGAACATGATAAAATAAAGTAGACTATAAGTCTGCTCTAAACATGTTAGAACTGCTGTAGAAATCAAATATGTTTCGAAAATTTTATATTAACATTTAATATAAAAATTATTGGTTTGTTTTTGATGACGGCAAGTTTCCTTTTGTCTTCAAGTAGTGCATTGGCGCCGTTTTCTTATCACAAAACCTTGTTATAAGAATCTAACTTTTAAAACCAACCTGCACAGTTTTTAAGGAGATCATTTTGTTTGGAATGTGGACCAGACTCATTAGAAATTGAAAGGACTTTTATTTTACTATTTTTATTTAAACATTAATAAGTTTTCAATATTGACTTTACTTTAAATATTTATATAGTTATATAAGTTTTAATAAATTCCTATCTACCAAAATTAATAATAAATTACATATGCTATATGTATATAAATAATTAGTTACATACGAATATAATTTAAAATAAATTTATTAAATATATTTTTTAAAAAAATCAATAATAAAATAATCTAAAATATTGTTATATTATTATATATATGTTAGTTATACATGGATTTATTTGCAATTTAAATATAATTTATATATATCTCGGCTTTATACTTAATAAGTTTATTATTTTATATTGTTGGCTTATAACGATTATAGGTCGACAATATAAATAGAAATTGAGTTGTATAAAATATAATATTACATTGTATTATTTGTTATATTAGTCGAAAAGACTTTCATTTGAGTATAGCAACAGACTGATGCTTGGGTGAATTTTTAAACATTCATAAACCATGTGTGCATCTCAGGATAAGTTTGAGTTTATTTATTTTTTTTTTTGCTGTTTTCTATGGGAAGGTTATTTAAACACCGTAATAATTAAACAAACTTAAAATATTTTTAAAAAATAATATTATACAAATATTAAATTTTAATTGTTATAATATATATTTTAAATTATTTATATTAACCATATCATTATAAATAAAATATTAATAGTTATCTTATTATTTCATTTCGGTGAGAGATATACTACTTATGGATAGCTAACAGCATATACACATTTTTTAAATATTTGTTTATTAATTATGAACTTTAATATTTAAATGTAAATATTGAAATTTGATTTTAATAAATCAATAATTAATTATAATTAATAAATCATAACCTATGTATGGGTGGAGATATATATAAGGAATCATCGAACTCATATTAATCATACCGTTATAAATAAAATGTCAATTGTTATATTAATATTTTATTCCGGTGAGAGATATACTAGTTATGGGTAGCTACAGCATATATTTTTTAAATATTTGTTTATTAATTAAAAACTTTAATATTTAAATGTAAATATTAAAATTTAATTTCTACTTTATAATCATCTATGTATGGACGGTGATATATAAGGAATCATCGAACTCACAAGTCTTGTGCTACGGTACAATTTTTTGCACTCAATGTTATATATAAGTAAATACATACATATATGTTTAATAATTTATACACATGATTGTGATGTAAATTATATTTGTATATAAATAATACTTTTGTTGCATACATGTGTAATACGTTTAAAACCTTACTTTTATGCAAATATTTATAGCACTTTATAAAAATATTTATGTTGTAAATATTTTTTTAAAATTATTTATATTGGAAGAATATAAATAAAATAAATTTTTTTAAAATATATAACAATTTATATATATATATATATATATATATATTAATGTATACATTTTATTATATATATACTTATATGTAATATTTTATATATACATATAACATTACTTCAATGTGTTTCTTATAACGTATTTATCTACATTTTGTGATGAAATTGATAATAAAGGAATAAACTCAACCATTACTTTAGCTATACGTGGATGTAAATGCACGTACGTATGTGTGTGCATGCACTGACTGATATAGTATAATTGATCTGTAAAATACATTTCTAGTTATCGTAGATTTAATATGATTTTAAATGCATACAAAAGGATATATTGAAACAAGCGCATATACAATTAATAAACATCAAAATTACTGTACATAATTTTATAAAATAATTTTGTTGTTGTAGATTAATCATTTTCTTGGTAATGGGGGAGTGCAAACGGTTCAGTTCAAGCGTTCACATGATTTGCTTTAAAATGCGCAGTAGGTAATTGAACTTTGAAAAATTCAAATATGTATTTCAATCATAGTTAATATATAAAACGTATTTAAAAAAAAAAAACTAAAAATGTTTATTATTCGTTTATTAATTGTAAACATACCTGCGTTGCGTCAGAATATGGCGTACTGGAGTTGATATTGACTAATTGTGAACCAAATATTAAAATTTGCTTATCCATATCAGTGCTGGTATTTCTTTCGCTGAGGCTATCGTTAGCGGAGGATTCAAAATTGGCCTCGGTGATGTTTTCCATATTTTTATAGGTTGAGTATTTACAATTTACATTGAATGTATATTATATATACATATAGAATATATGTATTTACTTAGTTAACATTTATGTTGGCAATGGACGTTCAACGTCTTCGCTTTTATTTAAAAATAATGTCGTTATTATTAATGAATTGCAAAAAAATTAGCGTGTATAAATATTTTCAGTCATTTTAAGTAAAATAAAATATTTAATTTTATTATTGGCAGTGTTGATTTTTGTTGCTGCTATGTTGTTGTTTTTATTTTATTTTATTTTTTTTTCTTCTCTCGTATATTTATTTACGCATACGTTTGCATGAGTTGCTCATACGTTTGTGTTGCACTTATATTTATATACGTTCATCCATATACAAATAATTAATTTAATATATTGTAAGCACTCTGGTAAATTAAAATGGCATTTTTACTTTGAACAAGTTTTTTGTTATGTACTTAATTTTTATAATATAAATTTTGTTTTATTTTATTTAAAGCTACATAAGTACATAAAGTTTATAATTCTATTTTGATGAGTCACTTTACAAAGCAACACATATGATATGTGTTTGATTTTTTATTAATGTTTTTATCACTGCGTATTATTATTTTTATTTATTTATTTTTTTTTTTGATAGTTAAGTCACTTTAATATGCGTAATACGCTATTATTTATAATTATTTAAATTTGTTAAATTTTTTTCATTAATTTTCCTTTTCATTTACAAGTTTCCAATAAAATTCAGAACTAATGACTTTTTTCAGGTGACGAATTGCATTTAATGCTATGAGTTGCAGATAATTTTGATCGAATATGTTTATATATTTTTTTGTCTGTATGTGTGCAAATGTTTATATTTATTTTAACTACAGTGATACATATATATATACACATATATATTTACTACATCTTTTAAATAATTAGAGTCACAATTATTTTTTTATATATAGAATTTGTTTTATTTACTTAAATATTTTTGAGTCAATTTGTCTAACTTCGTACAATCAGATTTGTTTTATGACTGAATGTAGTTGAAAACGAAACAATATTTTTTTACAACGCAGAACTTGCGCTTGTTCCAAAATCAGCCAACATCAGTTCATTTGTTGCATATACAAAGTTCTTTGTTTCTGTGTACATACGTCAATGCTCGCTTAAATGTGTTCGCATACATATAAATGAATGTGTGCGTGTGTGTTTATAAGTATTAAATGCGTCTGCATTAAATCAGCTGTTCGAACGTATTGTTATTAATATATGTATACGTTGGACATACATATATATATTTATATAAACTGACTGCTTCCTCGTACAGTGAGATAAAATAATGAACGTATGAAATTGTTTTATTTTGTGAATTTTGTATAGCCAAAGTCTTATGACAAATACGTATTACGAATGTTATAAACGTTTTAAAGCAATAATAAGTAAAGCTATTTATAATTTAATATTTTTAATATGAAGTAAAAAGAATATATATTACAATAAAATTTTGTTCTTTAAATTAATTAAATTTTTGGCTGAACACAACAGTAGTTTCGATTACTGTTTAATATCCATCAGTGTCATTTTCTTGAAAATAATTCTTATTTTGACTGACCATACAGCTGCTTCAAGTATTGCCAAATATCAGTGATCAAATTGTTTTTTGATAATAATTGTCATATATATTTGCAAATGTTTTTTTTATGACTTAAAATATTTAATTACGAATAAATAAATATGAGAAAAGTTCTAAAAAAAGACAAATGGTGGGTTCGAAACAGCTGCTCAAAAACGTCTCTATTAATTAAATTTGTCATATATTATATATTTCAAAAATAATTATTATTGTCTGACTTTTACTTTTACACGCAAAATTACAATAGTTTCTATTAAGAAAATATTTTTTTTCATCATAATAATACACTTTAAAATCAAATTTAATACAGAAATTATATTACTTTTAAAGCCACTTTGTTATCATTACAAATTTTATCTGTCAATTACGTCTCGATAATATGACAAATACAGAGCACTTTCTTTATTAATGTTCCGCATTTGCATTAACAAGATTGAGATTGTTGGGCTATCTTGTCCTGAATATGAATAACTGTTTTTTAACTGTTTCTATCTCACCCTGTTAGAATCATTAAAGAAACTAAGAATTTTAAATTTGAGTATCCTATCCTAATAAAAATCAATACAACTGTAAGAGTACATTTAAATGTTGGATTAAGTGTAATTTTTATTATGTTTGCACATATTATATATCAATATATATATATAATATTTATATATAAATATAAAAACATATTATATATCAATATTAATACACAAATAAAAATTATAAAAAAATAACAAGATGGTCATAAATAAAATAAATAAAAAAATAACAATTTTTTGAATTTGATTTTTTTTAATTTATAAAGACTATCAAATATTTTAAAACAAAATATTTAGAATTGTTTGATATGCATCGAAATTAAAACACTGACGGAACTAATAGTTAATTATTAATCAATGAGATTGGGAATTTTTTAGTTTGTTGTTAAAAAAATTAATAATTGCTTTATAAATATGCACTGTTTATATTATAAAATAATTTAAGTGTTAAAAAACTAACTAAAAATTTTTAGTTTTATAAACTTGCCTATATAAAGAAAAGTTAATGAAAGTACAAAAAATTTTCAAGGTTTTTAATAATCTATACGTTTACTTTTTAAGCCACTGTACATTTGTTTGCATATTATTTTGTTAGTGTAATCATGTGGATGTGGTAGACGAAACCAATACCGACACGTACATACAGCATAAATAATTTACTTATTAAATCTTGGGGATAAAGAATATATACAGTCTACTTATATAAACAAGTATGCATACAATTGTATGTATATATGACTATTCATGGAGTATACATATTTTATTTAAATCCACTATAAGTTTCCTAACTCCATAAATTGAAGAACTAACTATTTTGTTAAATGCAAAATAGCTAAAGAAAATTCATTTTAATATTGCATTTTTTTCATGCAAAAACGTAATCTACAAACATTAATATATGCAAATATATATTTCTTTAGAAGATTATATTTTTAAGAATATATACATACACACAAACATACCTATATATATATAGGCACATTTATATATACCAACTAGGAGTATATCAGCAACGAAAGAAACGTTTACAATTTGATTTCAAAGATCATTGAATATTCAAGGAATAGATGAATTTATAGATAAGCGTGTTCTGAATTTCCTTGTTTAGTCGCCTCTACATTAATCGGTTTCACTGTAACACGAATTTTACTGCAAAATTTTGTGATGACTAATACTAATTCTGTTTATATTCAGTATGTTGGAGGAACAACTTAACCATAAGTTTATATGAGTAATACTCGCTCTTCACAATAAATGATTGCTATCTTTTAAAAGAAGAATCTTTGAATCTTTGAATAAAACGACAAGTGAATGTGTAAATAATTAAAAATGATTTCTACTGCATACATAATATTTTATTATTACAACATGACGTCCAACAGATTATTATATTTACACACAAATTTTATAATATATATTTAGATACATTACATTTATATACACATTAAATAAAATTATATATCTACAAAGTGCTTGCGCTGTTATCTGGAATGTTATTCAATTCTCCATCTGGATTTTTCCAATAGTAATATGGTGGTCCCTGACTAAAGCAATATTTCATCGAAAGCGGTTCATCGTTTTCTACATAATACATTAAGTAGAAATTGCACATTTCATCCTCATTAGTTGCTCTAAATTTATATATAAAAATATTTATAAATAAGAACACTTATGCTTATGTGTTTATATGTATAAATTTTCTCACCCGATTTCTGTTACTCTATGTCTTGTACTTTTCATTGTGCACCTAGCTGCTAAGTGATCACCAAATACTATCGGATCTTTATTTTCAACAGGATAAAACATTTGTGGTGTTAAAGGATTTCTTTTTCCAAGTAAAGTCCATTGCTGAACTCCTTTCTCATTAGCTCGAACTCTATAACCTGATACAACTTTGCCTAAACTGTGGGTGTGGGTACGATATGCTATAGGATATATTGTTTTGTGCTCATTTATCTCACAAGCTGTTTCCATATGTTCAACAGCCATTGGTGGAATTAAACCAGCTGTGCCTAAAAGTATGACACCAGCTCTTTTATTTAATCTGCAAAATAGGTAATTCATATTACTTATTCCAATAAATTTATTCAATGATATAAAGTTCTGAAAAACTCACTGTTTTGTAGTGTAACTGATAAAAACTCCTGAGTCGTCAGTACTGCCATCTGAAAATCAAAAATAATTAATAATTAATAATAACAAGAATAATAATTATAATTAATAATAGTTTTAAGTGTATTAATTACTGTTTTAAACGTATTTACTGTAAGATGCATTGATTAACTCTTACAAAATACGAAACTATTATTATGCAGTTTTTATTGTATATTATAAAATCAAGCTGTTATAATGATTATCTACTTATTAAATATAATCACCTAGGATTTGATGGAAGTTACAAAAAAAATTTATTTTCTTGAAAGTTATTATTATTTAATTTTCAAGTCAAACAGGATTATCATAATCATATTGTTATTATATAATTAGGTATTTGAAGATAAATCATAAAGTTCATTGTCTGTCTATACATATTATTATTATAAATCAATATTAGATGACCACAAACACTATTACTCTCTTAATCTATTCTAGATAATAATTCTAGAAATAAGTTAGAAGTAATTTTGAGTTATGTTATATCTTTCTTCAGATTTTTCTTTAAAATCTTTAGATGCTATGAACTTGGAATTTATTTAAAAGTTTATTTTAAGAAATAAAAAATACAGGCAAAGATATATTAGTTGAATATTAGGTATTTGTAATGTTTGTAAAGAATGTTTGAATTTTATGTACACTATGTATACTGTTAGCCAAAGGTAAAGTAAAGAAATTATACAAAATCTGTAAAGGTTTGGTTTAAAATATTTGTCCTATGATTACAATAACATATTTGATTTGTTTTAATTTACCCTTGAATTTATCGATATGTGCGTAGTGTACTTGTAAAACCATATATTTGATTTGAGAGCTGGCTCCAACTTTAAAGCCAACACCTTCAGGTAACTCAAGTTTTGGTGCATCCCTTGCCCATGCATATAAGATCTAAACGAATAAAATATATTATTTTTTAATGAATAAATTTCACTTCATATTCAAGCATTACTTGTGAATGACCATGACTTCCACATGGGCTTACAGCTTCTTCAGCATTCTTTTTTGACATTTCTCCACAATTCCTAACAAATAAAAAAATTATTTATTATTAAATTATTGTTAATAATTTTAATATTAATATTAAATATATATTATAAATTATATGTATTTATGCATTTTTTGACATTTTTACACAGTTTCTTATTTATAGTAAAAAAAAGTTTTTATTATGAATATATAAATTTTATCATATAAATGTTATATACTGTAAAATTTAGAAGTATTGTATTTTACAAATTTTTAAGAATAACCATGTGCAAATAACTTTATTAATTTATGTTCATATATATAAAAATCATTATGACTATAAATTATAAATAAATTATTTTGATCAATTTTCAATAAGTTTTGGATTATTACTGGGCCTATATAAACGATCTCTTTATTTAACAGATAATTTAATTTAATTTTATTTAATTATGTTTTAATTTTTATAAAATATTTGTTATATTACAGATATTACGGTCTACTTCGTAGATCACCTTCATTGTACAATGCTTAACATAATTATATATATGTAATTAAATATTTAACGCAAATTATTAAGTGCAATTTTTTATTTAGTAAACATTATTATAATTTTATGTGTTAAATAAACGACATAAGCCCAGTACTAATCCAAAACTTATAAATTATAAAAATATAAATAACTACAAAATAATAGAAGTAATCGTATTTAATCTAAATATTTTTATATAATTTTCTATAGACGTGTAATATTTTAATTAACATATTGTATATATGTATATATAAATTAGTAAAAACTAATTGAAAAATGATAATAAAAATATATTTTTAAGATTTGACATAAAAATTTAAAACTTTAGCTATTATATTGAAATATTTTCGTATTATTTTTACGTACCAAACAGGCTTAATAGATCCTGGTTCTTCACATCCATATAAAAGCATATGGTGTGCAGTGTTCATTGTTGCATTTGGTTCATAGCCAACTAATTATTAAAAAATAATATTATAAGATAAATATATTAAATAAATATTATGACTTACTGATATAATAGCTTGAGGAAGAATCAACTTTCACAGGGGTACATAAATATAATTCGGGCTAATAAATATACAGACATATATTATTATTTAAATATAAAACTTTAATAATAGAAAAAATATTATAAAACTTATATAATGTATATATATTAAAATATTATATATATATTATATTATATATATATGTTATATTATTATATTATGTATATAATATAAAATTTAAATATATTCATGATTTTTTTTCACAACATACGGTAATAATATATGCTTATTTTATTTTAGTCATATATTGCTTTTTGTTGTAAAATTCATTTTTTTTTTTTGCATAGCAAATTCGAAATATTGATTTTACTACAAACATACAGACAAGTTCATCGTAAAAACCCATTCTCTTGCACAGGTACAGAAATAAATGATAACATACGCGAACGTGTAAATTTTTATTAAGTGATGCTGTAGATGATTTTAATTATTATGTATGTTATATAGCAGTTTTATATTATCATTTACTATTTGTTAAATCAAAATAGTAAAAATAAAAAAAAAATCACCTGTTTAAATATAAGTTATATTACATGTACATACATATAAGCTATTATGTAGAGAAATTTTCACACAACGTAATTAAATAGTGAATTAATATATTTTGAAGTAACACGTATGTATATAAAATAGATTTCAATAAATACATTAAATGTACATATTAACTACTTACAATATTTGGCCTGACATTTGGCATAAGTAATGCAAACTTTCCATTTGTGGAGTCGTTATTAGTATAGATGTCTTCTGTATCCGGAATCAAGCCATTAGAAAATTTTAATATTAAAAACAATAGAAATGGAAATATATTCCATTTTCGACACAACGTGCTCGATTTGAACATTTTTTCATTAAAAATCATCTTTCTTTATGTACCCATATGTGCATACAAATTATCTCCTCAACGCCACAAGTATTTTTGCATTGTACCCACAAAAATAGAATTTACGTGTTTGTACCTTTCAGAAGGTTGCCAATGCTACCAGATCGTAAATAATCAAATTAATAAAAATCTTAACATAATACCAAAATACTGTTATGTATGGCACACAAAATATGAGTATAACATAATATATTTGAACAGAATTTACTTAGAAACAAATTATAATTAGCATAAGTATAAGCATAAGTATAAATTACAATTGGGATACTAGAAACTATATAAATAATATTATGTAAATTAAATTATAAAAACTATACCTTAAAATTGTTTGGATTTAATTAACAATCTACAATAGCAAATACTGTATATATTGGATATATAATGTTAAAAACCAAAGACCGAAAATAACAATTATTTCAGAACTTTTAAGGAAGAAAAGCAGCAACAAAAAGTTGTGTAAATTCTTATTTAAGTATATAGTTATCATTCTAGAACGTTTCATTCTTATACAAGTTTCATTCTTAATATTATACGTCTTTTAAATTAAAACTCAAAAATAAATATATAATTTGCTGTATAATATATTTTTCAAAAATAATTATTATTATGTGCCTTTTATTTTTCCACGCACAAACTCATGCACTCTGTTTTTTACTTTAAAACGCTAAAATAATTATTATTCTTGACTTAAATACATAAAAATCAAAAGTCATTATTATTTTTTAAAACAGAAAAAAAAACACTTTTCTGTGTGTTGTAGTTGTTTTTGTAATTTCATACAAATTTGAGTTTTATTTTAAAAGACCTTTAGCTATTGATGAATATTTCAACATGTAAGAATAAAAATCTAGTTAGTAAATTGTTTTTTTTTTTTAATTTTTATAATATATTATATTATAAAATATTTTAGTACTGAAATATTTTCGTGCCTTTTAAGAAAAAACAATTAATATTATAGGAATATTTATGGCTTTTAGTGAATTGAGTAGAAGTAACACCAATTTGAATGAAAAACATGGAAAACAATGATAATTAGTTTTATACAAATATATTGATGTTTAATAATAATATCAATTATTAAATGTTAACTTATTTGCCACTGTGTTTTTTTTATAATAAACAAATACAAATAAATATTAAATTACATATTTCCTTATTCATATGTCTCTTTCAAACTGGAGTTTATCAAGTAAAATTGAAGAATGTCGATTTATGGTTAAAGAAACTGTTTGTCGATCTGAATATTGTTTGAGACATTTTAGCATTGCATGAAGACCTGTAAGTTATTGGTTTATTTTATTGGTTATTATCATCTTCCGTGTAGAACCATGTAGAACCTAAGCCTGTTTAACAACAGTGTTTTCGGTTTTTTGCTTTTTTTTTAAATTTTTTATGTTCATTTCTTCTAAGTTCTGCTTTACACTGTCTTTCCATCGTTTTCTTGGTCGCACTCTTTTTCTGCTGGTTCCTACTTCGTTCATTCTTAAGCGGTACTCTTATATCCGGGATTTAATCTCTGTTTTTTCATAAATTTGTTTTGTATTTGTTTTGGTCAAAATTTTTCAGAGTATTATCCTTTCAAACACTGCTATCTTGCTTGCTTCAGTTTCAGTTAATCTCCATGTCCCACAGCCATATGTTACCACTCGGTGAATCAATGTTTTATACATGTTT